GATCACATTTCATTCAGATTTATATTGAAAATCTATTGACCAGCTATACTATTAGACAAAATTTACCAATAATTTTCCTTATTTTTTCACAACAAGTTTTAATCTAAAATCAACTATCAGAACCTTAAATCTCTCAACTTATATTAATATTTTTCAAAAAACTTTACTATTTATACTAACAAACTTATTTATCATAAAGTGCTGTTTCAAAATTATTCATCACTGCACACATTATGCTTTTACTAGTTTTAAAGTTTATAAGATGGCTAATTTAAATAGATTTATGTACATGTTTAATTCTGTTACTTTTTAATTTATTCTAATTTTAATACACCATATTTTAATAATACCTGTAATAAATTATCAAATAAATCATGCTAAACCAACGTAAGCATTTGTCAAAAAAACTTTTTGTAGTATACAGTGGAAATTTCATACTAAGTTATTATGATAAATATTTCTTACATACGATCTGATTAAAAGCCAAGCCAGCAGAGACATACATCCGTCATTCCGAGAGATCTAAATTCAAGTTTCAGCTGGATATTCAAAAATAAACAAACAATTGCTTTTCCTCATGAAAGGTTCAGTATTATATATTTACAGATTTATTGATAATACTGTAGTATTATGCTTTAGTATTACCAATAAATATATATAGCAAATGTTCAAAAATTTTTACAAGTAGCCTAACCTGGACATCAGGCCTCATCACATAGTAGATACTCCATTGCAGGCCTCACCAAACCTGTAACGAGTATGACAGACTTCTAAAGGTCATAAGACAGGAAGAGTAAAAATACATATATATTTAGTTTTAGTATGATATATTTAAGATTTTTTATATACAATTTTCAATGTAATTAAAAATACAGTATATTAAATCCAAGTATTTTATTCTATTAGGACAATAATAGATGAATCTATTTAATTGTATTTCAATACATTCATAAGAATATCAGATTTTAAACTAATTTCAGACTTCAATTAGATATCTCGGCAGCCGATATCTCTATCACATTATAATACATTATGTTTTAGAAAAATACATCCATAAACTCAACTAAAATAATATATTTACTGAATTATAACTGTTTTATAAAACAAATACTACGATCTTCTATAGAAAATAGTTATTTCATATTCATTATCTTATAAATCACATTAAACTGTAGCAAATAACAGGTACTGGAACTGTATACAAATATTTTGAATTTGACTGGAGAAGTAAAAATGATCTTATCATTAAATTTTCTTTCAAGCCAATGCTCAATTAATCGATTAAACGTTTGTAAAATTCAAAATTGTTACCCTGTTCATGTGTTTTGGCGAGGCAACAAAAGAAATCTTCTTACTTTTTTTTCCCCCGATATTTATAAAATTTATTTTTATCGCTAGCAACGTGTGTGTAAAATAAATCGAAGACTTACCTTCTATTTTTCTGAATAAAAGTGTTCGCTTCAACCAAAGAAACGATTGCTAATTGCTGACATTTTAAAAATTCCACGTGCAACTTAATATTTAACATAAACGTAAACGTCTAACATTGTAAAGCGACAACAAAATAAAACAACTCGTTGAGCGATACTCCCTCGTGCGGGAAAAATTGGTAACACGAGTAACAAAAGATAGTTTTTAATTAATAAATTAAATATATATATATTTTTTCTTATAAAAACAAAATTTAACTCGAAATTTTTGAAAGTTTTTGCGTAAAGAATTTATCTATTTTGATTTAGTTATATGTGCAAATCCTGAAAGAGTAATGTCTTCGATGCTATAACAAGCTGCCTGGAAAATTACAGTAAAAATAAGAATACAGTTGTATAGAATTTAGACCAGTGTTTTTCAACCTGTGGGTCCAAAGCCATACGCGGGGGGTCGCGGGTATAAGGAAAAGACAAGTGTTTGTAGGTCCTACACTACAATAAAAAAAAACTACAATTTCAGTGAGAAGGCTGTGCCTGTTTATTTTACAGTACAATTAGTTTTTTGATCGATATTTAAATCTCAACAGAAAGAAAATTAAATGCGTAGTTTTTAAAATCCCTGACATAGTTTTAATATGGCCGTGGGGGTCGCCAAAATTTTTTAACTTGTAAAGGAGTCGCGTATTCAAGAAGGTTGAAAAACACTGATTTAGACAAAAATCTAATACAGGTATCTCCCCGTTTATCCACTTTACTTTTACGAAAGATTTATATTAGACCATGATTTCGCTAACCGAAAGAAATCCGAAGAGGTTTTTCGTTTTTTTACGAAAAAAAAGGTGATGAGCAAAATACAGTTTAGCGTTTGTTTTGCAGTGAGCAGCGGAGACGAATCTCCCTCTCCAAGCTCCTTCTCTGGGAACTTCACTCAGCATCAATATGCCATAGTTTTGAACTGTGTCTATAAGCATCATTTTGTAAAGCGAGAAGCAAAAGTAAAGCGAGAAAACGGAAAGATTAGCGAGATTGCAGCCGAAGTTTTCATCTCTAAAACGTGAACGGCTAGAGATGAAAACTTCGGCCGCAACCTCGCTATTATTACTTGAATGGATTGATAAGTGTATAAAGATGGTGTTTCAACTTTACTTAAGAAAAAATTAGCCAGTCTTTTCAATAGGTTAAAAACAGGAAGAATGGATGATAGTACTGCAAAAGCAGCGGCTGGATATCAAGGTGGCAACCTACCGCTCTGGGGGATCCGGGTTCGAATCCGAGCGGGACGAAAAATCCCCAAGAATTTTTCGGGGTGTGGTCCATTCGGATATGTCGGGCCCCGTCCCTCACCACCCGGCAGCCCCATTGTGGGTCTGGCTGAACCCATAATGGGCTTGCAAAAAGATTCCCTCTTAGTGCCCACAGGACGGAGAGTTAAAAAAAGTATTAAAGAGTTAAAAAAAAGTATTGCAAAAGTGGAATTTAAAGTCAACCATGGATGGTTTGATCAGTTTTTAAGACGAGAGCTGCTTCATAGATTAAATATTTCTTACTAGAGGGTAACTTTTGGTGCAATTGAACTACATTGTATCCACATTTCTGCTGTATATTTACCATTTTTACTTCTGTTGTATGTTAGTATTATTTTAGGTTTAGTGTGATTTAGTAAGTTAATTTTGAGTTTGGAGGTACTCAAAAAATTTTCCCATATAAATTAATACCCATTTTACAATTCCGAGACAAATTTTAGACGGCTGAGAATTATAATGTCTATCTTCACTTAAATTTTTTATGAGACGAGTTTAAAGTTTGACATATTATAAAATGGTTATTTATTATAACTGGATATTGCGAATTTGTATATATATACTGTTCGTGTACGTCGTTTTCAATACTTTTAGTCTAATATATATTATTTCTATATTACCCGGAGAAATTTGAGTGTCCATATGGAGATAAGACAAAATGCTTCCGTTTTTTTTTAAAGTAACGTTTATATTTAGACATACGACAAAACGTATACCCCAATAAGAGTAAAATTTTTAAGAATATGAGACAGATCAACGTTCGACGGCGGTCGGGCATTATTCCACGTAGGACAAGTTATTTTAACAGATAGCTTACTCCAATCAGAACAGATAACTTAGCATAAGACAAAGTAGCTTTTTCTTTTTCTTTCTCTTTGTAAATTGTTGGTTGACATACCTTCAATTAGCCTAGTTTCGAGTAGAATATTCTTTTTACTATACGATTATTATAAAGATAGTGTAAAGGCAGCGGCGTAGCGAGGGTGTCAGCCGCCCGGGGCAAAGGAAAATTTCGCCGTCCCCTTATTTCGGTATCTCAATTTAAAATACTAAAATTCAGTTTCGTCACAGAATAAGTAATGAAAACTTCCGTGCTAGTATTGCCACCTTTTTAAAATCGCTGACCCGGACGGTAGGTGAGGTTTGTTCGAACAGAACAGAAAAGTTCCTGACGCATGCATATGTCATTTTGCAATGCGAAGAATAATGTGCAGTGCATTCCGGTTCTAAATCAGTTACAGTTAGCGATTAGGGAGACTTGGGTAGGAGTAACATAAGTAACCTAGATGACTTAGCTGTATTGGACATTGGAGGTGTATATGAATACGAATGATTCGTACAAGCAAAAAAAAAAAAAGTCGACCGGTTGTGCACGAAATCCTGGACTGTCCGGATGGTAACACTATTCCGTGCTCATTTCAATCGGTCCGAATCGTAGAGGTGCGACGAAAATATTGATAAAATGGTTCAAGTTTTTACAAGATATTATTATTATTTATTGTGAAATTTTGCCCCCTAAAACGTAATTTTGCCGCTCCCTAAAAAGTGCCGCGGGGCCGTCCCTGCCGCCCTCACTACGCTACTCCACTGGGTAAAGGTATTAATTAATGTTCAAGAAAAATCCGAACAAATACCAACTTTAAAAAAGTTATTCAAATCCATAAACGATTTAATGCAAGATACATAAAATATTGCAGCGTGTAATATAAAATACATAAAATTATTTTAAAGGTCATATGTTAATATTAAAACCTCACAACACGAATGCATTTTAAAAAAAAGCTTCGTCAAATTAAAAAAAAATATAATCGGTCGAGTGACGTGTATATGAACAGCTTTCGCCAATCTTTCTGACCTCACGGATCACTAAACTCACAATTTCGAATTCCACGGACCACTATCATGAATTTTTTTTAAACGATACAAACATCTACAGAATAATGATAATAAACGTTCCATTTTACTTTATTAATATGAAATTCTATCTATATCTATAATTCATTCATTTTATAACTATTGAAACCATCATTTTCGAATGGCGAAATATAACTTTAAAAACAAATAATACAGTACTGTTATTCTATAAATTATACTATACACTGTATTTTCAAAATATTTTTTCCGTTACCCTGAAGATAATTTATTAAAGAAATCAAAACCGTTAGACATTTAAACTACTTTCGTTGTTTTGGCGTAATGTACTAAAATACTATCATCAATTTTTAGTTTAAAAAAAATGCGGTGATCATCGATTGAAGTTGGCAACACTTTCCAATTATATATTGACGTCGAGCATTCTGCGTGTGTGTGTGTGTGTGTCAAGTATCAGTCGCCCGGCTTATGAATAGTTTGTGTTTCTGCTTTCGTTTTCTGTTAAAGGAATCCGATTGTTTGCTTTCTAAAATTCGTAGTTGTTATATTAAACTATTTCACGTACGAGGCATTTGCAGAAATCGATGTGAAGTAAATAGTCGAGTTCACTATGCTAACGTCACAATTTCGCTTCCGTTTCCTGAATGAGAAGCTGCTCCAGTTTTTCGCCCGAAATATACAAAATGTTGCGTATTATAACGGAGAGAACGCCGTCAGTAACAAAATGGGCGAATATTTGGATCCCGTTCAAAAGAAACTACTGGATGAAGTATGCATAGTGGTCGATAAAAACGATCAGTCTCTATGTGGCAAAAGCAAAAAAGATTGCCATCTGATGGAGAACATTAAGAGAGGATTGATTCACAGAGCCTTCAGTGTTTTCCTTTTTAACAGCAAGAATGAATTGTTGTTACAGCAGAGATCGAGTAAGAAGATCACCTTCCCCGAATATTACACCAATACTTGCTGCAGTCATCCCCTCTTCTTAGATTCCGAAATGGAGAAGAAAAATGCTCTGGGAGTCAAGAGAGCCGCCGTGCGGAGATTGGAATTCGAACTGGGTATTCCGAGCAATTCCGTCAATTTGGATGACTTCCACTACATGACAAGAATATTGTATTCCGCTTCCTCGGATAGCATATGGGGAGAGAATGAGATAGATTATATTCTAATTTTGCAAAAAGATGTCAAAATTGAAAGGAATCCTAATGAAGTGGCAGATGTTCGTTATGTGAGTCGTGGAGACATGCCGGATTTTCTTAGTTATTTGCGTACGAAAGGCTGCCGAATTACTCCTTGGTTCGATATGATTGTAAATAATTTTCTGTACGGCTGGTGGGATAATTTACATCAGTTGGAAACCTTGAAGGATCAAGGATCAATTCATGTGTTCAAAAATTCATAATTAGAATATATACAATATTTTAAAATAATAACTTATATTTTATATGAGTTTTATTCAATTATATAAAAATATTAACAAAATTTTATGCACTGTAAACTTAAATATTTATGAAGTAAATTTTTTTGATTTTAAAAGTTATTTTGGAAGTTTTATGATTAATATTAAAGAACTTAATGCATTGTTAATAAATTCAGAATATTTTTGAATTTAAATGCATTTATTTATATTGAAATTGTTGAAATATTAATGATTCCTATATATCAGTGTTTCTCAATGGGGGCGATATCGCCCCCATGTGGGCATTTTTCCACGTTGAGGGGGCGATTTGTAACAATTTATATTTTGGGGGGCAAAAAACAATTTTCTGGGCGATATAGTAAAACATTACATTAAGAATAATTAGATATTTCATTCGTTATATTGTACAATAATTAAACAAATAACATTATACTAGTCACTAGTCTATTCGATGCAGTATGAATTTGGCGTTAATCTTGGTCCTCGGCATCAGAATTTTGAAGTGAAGGGGGCAATAATAGGTAACGGTTTTATTGAAGGGAGGCTATACTGCATTGAAGGGGGCAACGATTCGTTAGAGGTTGAGAAACACTGCTATATATAATCATCAGCAATTACTATACAATATCAATTTTATAAGTAGAAAGGCATTAAAATTTTTTAAGTGTAGGAAATATTAAAAAAATTCTAATTTTTGATTTTTTTTAAATAAATAAACTTTAGTCAAAGTTATTGCAATTTTGTTATAAATAAATAAATTTTGTTTTTAAATGTCTCTTCATAACTTCTATACATAATTAAAAATGAGTTTAATTTTTAAAAAATATTTAGAAAGGTGATGCAAGATAGAATTTACTAAAGTTTACTTGATACAGAAAACATTTCAACTTAAAAAGCAAGAATTAATATAGGAAAAGCAACCATTTATTAAAATTTTTATGCCATAACTATTAATGTATTACTATTGAAACACTCGTCTGTGTAAGAATTCACAATTATTTCAGTTTAACAATATAATTAGTAGACAAATTTTTTAATGCTAAATTTGAATATACATCTTGTACTTAAACTAGAGAATGATTAAATATTGATAGTTCTTTGAAAAATAAATCCTTATTTATATTGGCAAACCATATGTAAAATTCAAAGAAAATCTACAGTACATATATAAAATTGATAATTTACTTCACATTTACTCATTCCATTAAATAAAATTTTTTTCTTTGCTAAATAATTCCCTCTTTCTGTATTTATCTAAGTTTAATTAGTGTAAATTATCACAGAACAAAAATGTTTTAAGTAATGTTTTAGGAAAAAACGATTTTTTAAAAATATTCAATATTATTTTCAAAATATTAGTGAATATCTACAGAATATCTTTTAATAATGATTGGCAAAATATGGTCATCAAACTTTCTATAATATTTTACTTAAGCATTTATAAACTTTGAAAATTAAATAGTGATCATCGATTGAAGTTGGCAACACTTTCCAATTATATATTGACGTCGAGCATTCTGCGTGTGTGTGTGTGTGTCAAGTATCAGTCGCCCGGCTTATGAATAGTTTGTGTTTCTGCTTTCGTTTTCTGTTAAAGGAATCCGATTGTTTNTCAAAATATTAGTGAATATCTACAGAATATCTTTTAATAATGATTGGCAAAATATGGTCATCAAACTTTCTATAATATTTTACTTAAGCATTTATAAACTTTGAAAATTAAATATTTTGTCAGACAATATTTTCTATTTAATGCAAAAATAAGTATTACAGATTTTAAATTTTGATTTGTGCTCTTATTTTTTTTTATCAAATAATATATTCAGGTTAATCAACAAATATTCACTTGAAAGCATACCATAGCAAAATGAAAATCATCATTTATCAAATCACTTCAGTGTACATTTTTAGCATGTAAAATATAAAACTACAAGAATATTAGAGAGGTTGAGGCACACGTTTTAAACGTGTGACGTTCAGCGCCGCTTTCCCGTAAGCCTAAAAGTTTGACGATGGTGTTTGGAATGTCGAGTGTGATTCCACCAACTATCCAAACATCATTGTCAAACTTTTAGGCTTACGGGAAAGCTGCGCCGAACATCACACGTACACGTTTAAAACGTGTGCCTCAACCTCTCTATTGAGGAATGTTATTTATTAATAGGCAGGTGAAATACATTTGATCTAAGCTTGGTCAATTTATGGCAAGATGTGATCTATTAGCACAATTTTATTTTTTGTTAAATTTTACTAACCCACTCTTATAAAAACTATGCTACAAAATATATTTATGTACTGTATGGCAATAACATTCCAGATTATTCTTTCTTTTGGGTGAGAATTCTAAAACTATAAATTGAACACTAGCATTTGTTATTCACCATAACAAAACTATTTTATTTTCATCATTGTATGGGTGGCTCCCTTTTGGCACACCAATTTTGTAAAATAAAAAAAAGTTGTTATGGGCATTAACAAAACAATTTCTAAAATATTAACATAAATTAAACGATATAAAAAGCACATTGCAATTCCTCACATTCACCACCTGCACGTTCTACTTTTTGACTTTTTCTTTCACTGTGCTGAAAGCAAAACAAAGTTAAGTGTAAAACACAAGGAAGACAAAGAATTAATACTCCAATTGAAATTACAAATATTTTTGTTTAACTGATCATATCCAAAATGAAAAGATGCCGCAATCAATCAGTTGATGATGGCCATGGCTCCCACATCCTAGAGAGGGGGCCCCCAGACCAGGATCATTGGTGACCCCCCTTCCGACTTGAACCCGAGACCTTAGTGGTGTGAGGCGAGGGACCTAATCACTCAGCCTCTGCGACCGCTTTGGGATATGATAAGGCAGCTAAATGACAAAAAATATTATTTACATTCACAAATTAAGCACACATTTACAAAAACATCGATTAGATTTATGAGAGACAATAGAGGAATTACACCAACAAATTTTACAATGACAAACACGACATTAAAAATAAAATAGGAACAAACACAAGAACTGAAAGAATAACAGAAATTGAAAAACAAAGCACATCAACAAGACAAAACCTAAGAAACTATCAATTAAATTATTTTGCAGTAAATTTTCTGGCTTTTGCTGAAGCAAATTTTTCAATCATGTCACTAAAATTTGTTTGTTTAGCTAAATCATTTTCAATGCACAAAATTGCTAGGTTATTTAGCCTCTCCTGACCAGTTGAGTTTCTTTGCCAGTTGAAAGACCTCTCACCCAAAGAAACAGTTACTGGTACTGTACAAAACAGCTTAATTGTGAGACTAATATTGACAAATTAATCCTAAAGTTTTATTTATCATAAATTGCACTCAGAATTCCAATTGGGCTTTTTTCAGTGCTGAAAATTGTCTTATAAATATTCATAAAGTGAATTATTTCATAGATTAAGTCTTCTGTCAGATCACTGTCATATGCATTTATAAGTTTTGCTGCTTTTTCGAAAAGTTCACTTTCACCTAACTTTTGGAAATCTAAAATTGGTGAGAATATTTCATATACAACATTTGCAGCTTCAAATCTTGTTTTTAAATCATGCATAATAAAATCCAATATTGGATACACCACAGAAATTACAAATTCTTGTTCAAAATTCTGATAAAAGTTTTTTCAGCTTTCCTCATGACTCAAAGTATAAAAATTACCTTTCTGATTGTTATATTAAGTTAATAATAGTAGCTTAGAAAATTAATTAAACTATGTCAAGAATTAAATACTCCAATTAAATTGAACTTAATATTCCACAAAAAAATCCAAGAAAAGTAAAAAATACAAGCTGACATCGTCATACTGGGACCCCTGACTAGGGTCTGGTCAGTCACTACCATGTGGGGGCCATGATGGCACAATTGAATTGTAAGTCAAACTGCTACAGTATTGTGCAAATTTATGGAAACAAGGTCATGTTTTACAATGTTTTAAATTATGAATCAAGTTAGCATTACTGTTGCCAAACATTAACTGTTTTTTTTTTTTTTTGTAACCAGCTGTCACACCACTACTGAAACATATCAGACTACAAAAACATAAAATAGTAATAGTTTCACTGTAAGTGTTTATTACAGTTTTTCTTTTAAACCTAGACCTAATGAGTGTTGAAAATGGATCTCACTATTTTGGTTTGTTTCCTTTGGATGACCCTCAGAAAACCAGTAATAGCTTGAACAATGAATTAACCATAGCTGATTTTCATGTGCATGATTCAACAATTTGTCAGAGACTTCTGGAGGAGGGAAGACGAGCTTGTCACACCCAAAAAATTCAACATCATCATCATTCTTTCATTTAAGAGCTAATATTCTTTATTATTTTTTTTTATATTGAATAATTAATAATGAAAATCAATCACTCTTTGTTAAAAGTAATTTTAATATTTGAAAGTATAAAGTTTCCACTAAAATTTTAATATAGGAATTAAATCTTAAAATTTTCATGATTAACAATTTGATAGTTTTGTCTTAAATATTTTACAATCAAAATTATAATGGATTGCAAATTATTTAAAATATCAAATTAAAATATATTTTAAACTAGCAAATTTTATAAAAACATCTTTCGTAATGCTCTAATCACTTTAGAATTTAACTATAATTAACTCAGACCAATATCAAATACATCTTCATACTGTTCAAAACATGTAAGTAGCTAAATTATTTAATTTAGCTACTTACATGTTTTGAAATAATTAAATAATTTTCTGTATAACTTTAAATTAATTTTTTAAACTTTAATTTTGGTATATGTATCTTTATCTATGGATGTAGGAAATTAATACAAAGATAAGAATTTGTTTATTTTTAATAGCTGCTGACAACTGGAATAGTTTATTCAACTCTCTTTCTAAAAGCATTTAATTAGTAGCATCTTAAAAATTCATTTTTGAACAAAAATAATACATTGTTCTTAATCTCACATTGTCAGTTTAAATTGTTAATGAATAACCCTAATAAAATAGAATTTATATTTGAAAAATCAAAGTTTTGAATTTAATCTGTAAAAAAATGATCATTCCTGAAATCTAGTTACATTTATTGATAATTTAAGTTAATTTGCCATTTATTACTTCTTAAAATTGCTATATTTTTAATATAAATCTTAATTAAATTAAAATTTTTAGTTAAATATAAATGAAAAAAATTATTATTAGGGTTGATATAAATTTTCATAAGTTATTAATAATTAAATATGAAATAAGTTTATATAATTTANGTCAAAACAGTATATGGAAAAATAAAAATCAAGTTTAAGTCATTTTATTCGACTTTACGTCTGTCCGCCATAAATATTGAAATCGTAATATCACTAGAAAAGAATTTAAAGCACATAAAATCATATTAATTAAAATATATACTGTACATTTACAAGTATGTACTATAATCTAAATTTATGAATGCATGTACTGTAAATACAGTACATGCATTCGTAAATTTAGATTACTTTTTAAGTATTTATATAAAAAGTATATGGAAAATTAAAAATCAAGTTTAAGTCATTTTATTCGACTTTACGTCTGTCCGCCACAAATATTGAAGTCATAATATTACTAGAAAAGCGTTTAAAGCACATAAAATCATATTAATTAAAATATATACTGTACATTTACAAGTACAGTATGTACTTGTAAATGTACAATATATATTTTAATTAATGTCATGTAAAATTATTTATTGAATAGTGTCAGAGATTAATTACTTCATGTAATAAATCTCTATGTTAATCAGAGCTTGAGATATCTAGCTCCATACTTGCTTGAAAGTGGAGCAATCACTTCATTCTCAGCTCACTCCAATAATTTTAATATACTGTAGAATACATAAGAGTCAGATACAATACCTCAGTGAGTTTTGTGATTGTTAAACATTTTGGAAAACCAGATAATCACAATCTAGATTCAATTCTAGATCTTAAATTAGTAATACAAAAAGGCAATTACTGGACCAAAAAAATTTATTTCATTTTTTTAGCCAGTAACTTAAAATTTCCAAACTTATATTAAAACAGAAAAAGTGGCCATATAATTTTTTCTTAAAAATTATGTGCACATTCATTATAGTTATCATAAACTCTCATTTACATACTTATATACATGAAACAGTTACTCATCAATTATTAAGAGACTTATATTTTCAAAATTTTGAAAAAAGAAATATATTCTAAATTTATTTCCACCTCATGTTTTTGCCACTTTTTTTCTTTTTGAGTTATTTGAACAGTGAAAATTTAAAGATTAACACAAAGACATAATTGTCAACTATAACAAATAAAGATGGGGTGCTGTCATATATTATTTCATGTTCAGCTTATAGTCAATTAGATCAGATTGAAAGTATCTGTGAATTCTTCCAATGTAAGCCAGAAACAAAAATTCTCTAACTTTTAAATTAGACTTTGTAAATTGAAATGAGTAAAAAATGCAAATTTTTATGGTATTAATAACCAATAATAATAAAGACAATAAAAAATACCACTCACAATTTAAACTTAATATATATCTGTTGTTACTGTACTGTAATACATTTTAAAATAATGTATTTTTACGTATTTTATCGTAAAAGACAAAGAAACAATACAGTTTTATCAATTCTTTCTTTTATATTACAAAACAATTCTAATTACATTTCTAACAACTGTACAAAATTTTTAAATTACAATATTACAATTTATTTTTACTTTAAAAAAAACATTCTTTAAAACTAATAGATATTAGTACCCAACAGTTTAAAATTTTATGTAAAAAATTAAGTAAAATCAAAATAGTAGCAAAGTTTAAAATATTATTAAATTATATGATAATACTAATAAGAGATATAAATAGCTATTTAGATTTGCCAGTTGTCAAGATGTAAAGTTAAGATAAATGAGTAATCGTTATTTCATAGATTTATGGTTTAATAAGGAAAATATGTATCTTAGAAACTGATATGTAATATTGTAACATATTGAGCAATGTTTTTGATCGCAGAGTAGTATATTTAAATGAAAAACCAAAAAGAAGAAAGAATTACATGAAAAGTTTTCATTCTTATCAGTGCCCAAATAATTCTACTGATCAACTGTTAAAATTTACTAGCATGGCAAACAATAATAAAATTTCTGATTAATTAATAAAAAAAAACTATTCAAATTTAATATGTAAGATGGAGTTAGAAACATTTTAAAAAGATGAAACAAAAAAAACCTAAAAAGAATATTCCACAAGAGTCTAATTTATCATTTACTATGGAAGATAAATTGGAAAATATTCCTTTGATTTTTCAATTAGTATTTTTTCATAGCTGCAATTGCTGCCTCTAAAAATTTGCAATATAACTTGTTATAAAGAAAGATATTTTAATTTCCAAACATAACAACATATTTAAAAGTCAACTATTTATGGCAATATAATGCCAATAATTTCTATATATATTAAATTAACATATATAAATATGCTAAATATCAATATATACATAAGAAAAAGTACATATTTTTACATAAATAGATCTATTTATAATAAATTTAAGATCATATCAAAATAATCATTAACAGAACGTAACATAAATTCATATCAGTCATATATTAAAAAGACAATTAAAATGTATTAACAATAAACAAACAACAACAGTTAATCAATTTTACAATATATTATGTTTGAAAATATATATATAGATAAATCAAATTCAATGTATATATTTATTTTAATTTTAGCTTCTTCTGTAATTTTTTAATAGTAACAATGCAAAAGTACAATTTTATTATTTGCTCTTTTGTTAAGATCATCTTTATGCATGGATAAAATAAGTAAGGAAAGAAAAAACAAGATAATGTACAATATATTAAAATTACAATTATACATATGTATATATATTAAAGGATAAAATTAATCATAAATTAATATATTCTTAAAATTCTGCTTATAGAATTCTAAGCCACAATCAAAAAATAAGTATGACTAGAAAACAGAATGAGATCTTTCACAAGTTTCAGACATTACATTTCTTAATATATAATAACACTTAGTTTAATAAAAAAAAAAAATAATAATAATAAATTAACACAGATTATTTAAATACTGTAATGATAAGAATCAAAATCTGTCTTTTCTATAGTCATCTGTAGTACAAATATTGGTATGAAATAAATATTTTTTTTAAAATCTTTGGTCAACTAAAAAAATAATTTAATAAAATACCATTTCTTAATTTAAGAAAACATTCTGTTTACAAATTAATTATATATTATGTAATACTGCATATTGAAAATTAAAATAAACATTAAATTTTTTGAACTACCTTGGCTTAGCTACACACAAACACGTAAATACAAATGCATAAATTTGTATTTTCAGATTTGTATAATCATGTTAAAAGCGTCTTCCAATCATGCTGTCCATTTGCACTATGCACTAATGGAAGAACTGGAGGGGCAACTAGATTCCATTTTCCATCTGCTTCCTCTTCGGCAACTGTTATAGCACAATATGGAGTTTTACGAATAACACGTATGAGATCACTCGTGCTTCGTGGAGCTAAACCAATTAATTGTCTCGTGCAAGAATCGAGACTAGCAGAATGTCCAAGTAATAAAATGTTTCCATCTAAAATAAAAAATAAAATATATAAGCTATCTACTTCTATTTATAAAAAATATTTTATTAAAAAATTTATTTTTAGACTAATAAGATTACAGAACTTATTTATTTTATAATTAATAAGTTACATAATAAAACTATGGTTCCATTTAGTATTAATATTGAAAATATTTTTCAAATTAACTTTACTTGGAAACCTTAGAAAATTCTTAAAATTCATGTCAGTGATGGTGACTAAGTTTTGTAGCCTTTCAATATTTTCCTTTTACAAGGGTGGTTTTTTCAACCTCCAATAGTCCATAAAAAAAGATAATAAATTCATTTTGTTATTTACACTTATTATTTTTTTAATTTATGATTCATTTTATACTTTAATATATACATATATATGAGGGCTGTTCAAAAAGTATCGGACCTTTGGTTGGCAAAAATACATTTATTGATTTTGAGGTACAAAACCCTAATCCCCTGCAAAGTAGTTTCCTTGGTAGTGTATACACTTCTCCCAGTGCTCCTGCTATTGCTGGAAACACTGCTGGAACACGGTTTTTGGAATGGCCATCAGCTGGTCCATTGCATTCCACACGATGTCTTCTCTCGACTCAAATCGGGTTCCTTTTAGTGGCATTTTCAGCTTGGGAAATAGCCAAAAGTCACACGGAGCCATGTCAGGAGAGTACGGAGCATGACAAACCACAGGAATGTTGTGTTTGGCGACGAAAGTCTGAATTAGATGCGCAAAATGGGCAGGTGCGTTACACGATGAAACTGCCAAGCTTTGGTTGATCACAGATCCGGTCGTTTGTGTCGCACAGCATCACAAAGACGACAAAGGATCTCCTGGTAATACTCTTTTGCGATGGTTTGGCCTTGTGGTGCGTACTCACGATACACTACCCCACAGGAGTCGAAAAAATTGTCAACATGACCTTGATATTTCTGCCGACCTGCCGTGCTTTTTTTTGGCCTTGAGGATTGTCCCTGAAAGCCTGCCGAATCTTGCGAATGGTTTCCACTTAGGTATCGTCAAGGTTTTTGGCAAACTTTGATGCAATATTGCTGCTCACGTTGTTCAGTCATTTTTCAACTTAGTGGAATCCGACGAGAGCTCACTACACGTTCTCACTCATAGGCTGACTGCCAGTGACTGACGCTTCCTGCAGGTGGGAAAAAATCAGGACTGTGCATGACTGTCTCCTCCACAACTCCACCAAAAGAGGCCTCCCACGCATGAATGGTTTACGTGGAAAAAATAAAGGTCCGATACTTTTTGAACAGCCCTCGTATATAACTGTAATTTTAATATATTGTACAGTACATTATCATTTTTTTTCCTTACTCATTTTATCCATGCATAAAGATGATCTTAACAAAAGAGCAAATAATAAAATTGTACTTTTGCATTGTTACTATTAAGTCTTCACACAGTAAAAAGTTCCAAGCTGGGTGGAAGTCTTCACCACCTTTAAACACCCAGCATATAGCCCTGATTTAGCACTGAGCAACTTCCACCTCTTTCCTGAACAGAAAAAGTGGCTAGGAGGGCAGAGGTTTGAGACTAATGACGATCTTCAAAACAATGTTGGGCCCATCTCAAGTCATTGGCGATAACATTTTATGAAGAGGAGACAATAAAGCTCGTCCACAGATATGACAAATGTCTCAATCTTCACTGTGATTATGTTGAAAAGTAACCAGGTTAGTGGCTAACTTTTGGTAATAAATTCATTTTGTTATTTAGACTTACCTTTTTTTTTATGGACCATTGGAGGTTGAAAAAAACAGCCTATGTATAAACAAATTTTGTTTTTTATTTGTTGACTATATTAAAATATGAAATTTAACAGATTTGATAAATTTCAGCAAATTTTTCTAATTGTAACAAATTCAAATATACAGTAGAGCGTCGATTATCCGAAAGTCAATCATCCAAAAGAATTCCAGTCGGCAAATTTAAATTTTCGCCAGTGCTGTGGCACTGCAATCTTTGGCTATGTCTTGGGCTACTCAAATATTTTACGTTTTTGATACTAAATTAACTTCTGAAGTATAATTTTTTATTGTTTTTATATTTTTCAATATATTTATTTTGTTTGTACAAAATAAAAAAATAATTTTCAACGATACAATAGTCTTCGTTAGGCTTAACATCGACGAAAATTCAACACAAAGCGACATGCAATGGAGAAAAATGTCAAGATGGGATAAATTAATATATTTTTTCATACACTATTGGTTATCCGAAACATTGATCTTCTGAACAACCCCAGTCCCCAATCGATTCGGATAATCGACGCTCTACTGTATTCTGATCTTCAATAGCTGAGGATGGTCTAATAAAGACTAAAAATGTTTCTAGATTAATGAATTGTTTTAGTATTCTTTATAAGCAATTTGTTGACTACATGTAAAAATGATGCCAAATTTTGTTTATTTTGAAGATTAAGAGTTTTATATTCAAACTATTTACACATCTTTTAATTATCCAGATAAAATCTTATCAACTTTACTCAATTATTTATAGATCTTATGTTTATTTTTATGTTTGTACTTACTTTCAGTATTTTTAATGATTGTCTTTACAATATAAAAACTTCGTAAATAATATTGTTCAATTGATTCTCTTTTGTCTTTCAGTTCATCAGCAGCAATAAGAGGTTGATAATCTAAGTTAACATTAAATCCATAATCTGAAAGTTCCTGAATTGACATCCAAGTTGGCATTCCTTCTTGATACCAAGCTAACCATTCAAATAATCCTGGTTCCACATTGATCTTCAAATACTGTTGTCCTAATGCTAGAAGAAATAAATATATGTATAGATGAGAAAAATATTTATAGCTATATAAAGTTGTTAACATTAAAACTTTATTTATATCAGTAAACAAACTTTAGCAATTTCTATATATACCTCTAAGGATATTTGTACAAGTCTGTAAGCATCTCAGAGAAGGAGAACTATAAACATATGTAAATTCAACTGCTGACTCTTTAAGTGCTTCACCTAAAAATAAGAAAAATATATTTCTTAGTTAAATATTTGTGTATGAAAAATCCTCAAAATATATTGAATACAGCTTTTAAGATTTTGAAGTGAAAAAAACATTTACTTCAGCGAAATTTTAACTAGTAATTAAATAATATGATTCTGATAATATCAACTAAACTAAATTTATAGCAGAATCAAATATATTCCTATATTAAACATTTCAAAGCCTGTTTAAAATATAATAATCATTATATGTATTTAACAATGTATCAAAAATACTTTTCTAGTTTATTTTATTTTTTTATTATCAAAATTTAACAAAGATAATATAATATAATCATATTATAATTGGATAATATCAAATGACAAACAAAGAGAACTAGTGAGAGATTTAGGAGTTTCGTGACATTAACAAAGAGGTTATGAGGTAGTCCTTGGGGATTTCAATAATAATGTTTATGTGGATAAGCCTAGGTATGACTTTTTTATTGAGGGGGAAAAAAATGTACTTATCAAACATTTTCAATAAAATTGAAGTTAAAAAGTACCAAGTGACTCGAGTTTTATAGAATCTTTCATTGAAGACCATATGGTTTAACAACAATATACAGTAGAGCATCGATTATCTGATACAGTTTGGGATTGGATAACTGGTTTTTCGGATAACCGAACATTTATGAAAAAAATACATTAAACACAAAACTGTACTGTACATATTTTGTATCACATGTCTTATAAATACATATCTTACATAAAGTAGTACATTAAAGTACACTACAGTTTAGGCCTATAGTTTAAGTTGGCAGGGAGGGGGAGAATGCTGCAGCACCAAAGCACTAGCGGAAATTTGAATTTGCCGATTAGAACACTTTCAGTTAACTGAAAGCGTTCCAGTCAGCAAATTCAAATTTGTTGACTACATGTAAAAATGATGCCAAATTTTGTTTGACTTATTTTGTTTATTTGATCGGTATTTGGATAATCATTGCTTTACTGTACAGGTATACCTCGCCTTACGTCGGTAATTGGTTCCAGGAAAACGACGTAAGTCGAAAAACGACGTAAGTCGAATTTACCTGTCTCCGAATCTACTTATCACTAGGAAAGCATTTTAAATAATATATGGTTAATAAAAATCTATTTTAAGCTTACAAACAAATAAATTTTAGTTTTTAATATAGTACAAAAAAAGTAATCTAAATTTACGAATGCGTGTACTGTAAATACAGTACATACTTGTATATATTTTAATATGATTTTATGTGCTTTAAACGTTTATCTAGTGATATTACGACTTCAATATTTGTGGCGGACAGACGTAAAGTCGAATAAAATGACTTAAACTTGATTTTTATTTTTCCATATACTTTTTTAACAAGCGACGTATAATCGGGAACGACGTAACTCGAAACCGACGTAAGTCGAGGTATGCCTGTACTTTACTTATATTTGTACAATTGATGATTTTTGGAATTGCTGTCTGTTAAAAAATTTAAAGCTTTTCACATTTGTGAATGTAAGAAAATTATAGATAATTTAACACTTTAATAATAATTTAAATTTATTTAATTGCTTAATTATAACTAACTCCCAATATCACAAATGAATAAACAGTAAAAATATTAATAAACTAAAATTATAACGTAAGGTTAATAAATATATAAACTAATGATGGGATGATATCAAAATATCTCCTGATTCAGATTCTTTTGAATAGTTTCTAAAGTTTATTTTTATTTAGAAAAATCAATTATTTACATTAAGATCATGGTACATTCATTAATCAATAAAATCAAGCTTAAAAATGAAAAATGATTGAAAACCCAGAATTAATCTTTCGAAAGAAACATGAAAATTCTTCATTTATATGTGGACATGCATGCTTTTATTGTGTACTATGAAATAAATTTGTAATCTTATTCCCTTTTACTCAAAGAATTATCACATCATGTCATGTAGGATTGCCATCTTTGGAAACTGCTTTGTTTGCTGATGCTATGACAGAGAGGGGAAGTAAACGAGAAGATGCACCTTTTTTTCATGCTTCTTGCAATCGACATGCCTTGCAAATGCTTTAATTCCATCATATCTAACATTACACGAGATTCAGCAAATAATGCAACAAGCCGAACAAATATTATCATCACAAATTAACTAAGTTTTGAATTCATTTGAGTCAGGTTTTCCTAAATAAACATTACATGAATTTTTTTCAAGGAAAGAAGAATCAAATGAATGCCTAGACTGATTCAATTGACTTGAAAAATCAATTTTTAAAACTCAAAATGGCAGTAAACTTAGCAGAAATAATTATTTTTACTTAGAATCACAGGAATTGCATTTGTTATGATTCATAGTATCATCTGTGAATTGTGACAAAAACACTTCTATATAAGCTGAAACTAATTTAAGCCTGAACACCTTAACTACTTTTTTAGCAACACTTTAATTTATTTAAAGGAAAGTTTTCCATCTCTTTTCATGGGTCTGTGTCAGATTGAACAAGATTCCAACAGTCTTCTTAAACAGTTCAAATCTTGTTAAATCTAACACAGACTCAAGAAAAGGAGTCAAAAACTATCTTTAAACAAATTAAAGTGTTGTTGAAAAAGTATTAAGGGGTTGTTCAACCATTTTATTTTTATAAGTAAACATACTAAATATTAAAAATAATTTTATATAATATTTTTAAAATTAAAATATAATTTTGTTTATATTTTAAACTTTGCTGACACTTTTATATTTTTTCTGACACTTAAATATTTTTGTTGACTGCCAGCTTTGTTGTGATAAGAAGTTCTTCAAACCTTACTCAAAAGAGTGAGAAAAATAAAAGTAAAACCTTTAATTTTCTCAATAACTAAAAATTCTCCCATCAAGTAAAATGGAATATTTTTTATGAGATTGAAGCTAATGGGCTCATTAGATCAGTACTTAATAGAACATCATGTGGTCACTATTTTTTTATTATAGAAAAATTAAAAAAAAAATTTATTATAGAAGTGACATAATGTGGCTATCTTTTTTTAAAAGTTTAAAATATGCAATTTGCCAAAATATTTAAAAATGCAACTTAAGAAAAATTCTGTTGTCAAGCATGAACTAAATGAGGTCACTGATGGCATTGCAACATAAGGGCAATCACCAAATGGTAATCAAAAAAACATTTCTTCTATAGTTTTTATTTTCACAAAATAAGTAGTCTATACTTTCCGTCAGAACATGAAATGAATATAATGAAAATTTCATCTAGATTGGATAAAAATTGCAGGAGTTATAAGAACTCACAAACAAACAAACAAAGACACACAATGGCATTTATAAATCCTCAATAATGCTTTCTCCCTTTATTAAATAATGGTTCATAACAAGGATTATTCATCAAACATTATTGAAATATCTGAGGATCACGTCAAATTCTCCTTGTGAGTCAAACTTCCTGACACTGTGAGCCATTGCACCACTGATCTTTGTGAAACGAAGTTTGTCATACCATTTCTCATTAGTTCACTTTTCATTTGTTCACCTGATATCTATCATAATCATTGATAAATCTTTGCATAATAAAGTTCTATTCTAATTTTAAACTAATTTTAAACATCTCCATATGAACTTCAAAAGTTAAACCAACCAACTACTTTTCTGAGTTAATTAGTTTAATTTTAAAATTTTTAATTTAATAAATCCACTATACTATTATTAATATTAATAATTTATAAAAAATTTAAAAATATGTAATAGCTGAAAAGCTTATACAATTATCCATATAATATTAATACTATGTTCATGTTGTTATATGAGAATGATGTGTATTGAAATTATTTGTATATAGTTCCCAGCTCAAAAAATATCATTTATCTAATATAATATAATAATTATGTTTTAAGAAACAATTATTATATTATAATATTCTTTAGATTTAAAAAACATTGTCATTGCTTCAAATTCTCTTAAAGAGTATTTTTTTATTTTATTTTCAATAAAATTTGGATATTGAAATACATATACAAATTACCTATAAAAAGCATTGTGAAAATTAAAAGGGTGTTAATTTTCACAATGTTTTTTATATGTAATTAAATTAACAGGGTTTTATTTTTCAAATCCAAGAGTTATCACTCTTAACTTCATGCCACAATGGCATGTCTCAATATATCATCATCATCATCATATGAATAAATAGGAAATTTTCTTTGTTTTCATCAAATTTAAATTTTGTTTTCTTTTTAAAAATATTAATTGTATTTAACTAATCAAATAAATAAAGTGTATTTTCTAAAAAAATGTTTGTTTATTTTGATTTTGATTTTATACTTGTTTATAGTCTCAGAACTACAATAAGTAGGTACAGTAAATAAGCAATAATACATATAGAAGAATTTTCTGTGAAATTAAAGTTCTCATACATACTTAATTTTAATTAATCAAACATATCTACATGTGTAAAAACAGATAAACTAACTAGTTTTTCAAATGCATGTGTTAAAAGAATTGACAAACCTACATTATTATATAATGAACTTTCAACTTTAATGCACACCCCCCTCAGCCAGTCTGTTAAATTGAAGTTTAATTGTATTATGGTTATATTTTTAACTTAACATGCTGTTTTTTTTCAATCTCTAAATTACTGTATTTTTCAAAAATTTTAAAAATACTATCTGCCATTTTAATTAAAACACTGTATTATTGGTGAGATGTGATCATAACCTATCTTTTTCATCTATATTATATATATATATATATATAAAATAGAAGTTTATTAATTGAAATCTACAGAACAAGTAGTGCCATTTCACCAGATAATTTTGTGAAAATAAAAAAACAAGTTATATGCTATCCGAATGTTGCAGACGTTGCTGTACATTTTGTACTAGTGATGCATGCTATTGTATGCTTCCAATTTGTTCACATATTCCTTAATCAGTCTGATGATGATACAATGCATGACTATACTTTGTTCAGACTGATTGAAAACCCTGTAAAAACATCAAAGAACACACTATTACCTGGGG